CCCCCCAACCTTCCTGGAACGAGACAGAGGTGTGAGCTGTTGGCAGCTGGGATGTTAAATGTTTTTCCATATGGTCTCTTGGTTATTAATGGATGTTAACACTTGACAAAGTAGAGATTAGGAGATAAAAGCTATTAGAAAGTAATTTGGGTAATCTGCGTCTGTTCCCCCAGGAGCCTTCCTGAGAGCACTGCTCCCAGTGCCATTGCTGACTCCTGGGGGAAAGGGTTGTGCTGTGCTGGAGCTGTGTGGGGCTGGGTGAGGACATGGCCTGGGTGGAGCAGACGGAATCCAGGCATCTCTACTCCCAGATTTATTGCATTTCATAGGGATATGTTGTGTTTTTTGGAGTATTATGTCAGCAAAAGAACTCTAGAAATTAGATTGGAAGAACAATGTCCTGGCGTGCCATGGACTAGGGATGTAAACCTTGTGCGGTGTGGGCTCTCTGCTTTTGCTCTTTGGAGACAAACTGGGCTACAGAAAGGAAAATAAGAGCTTTTGCTCATCAGCTCCCATCTTTCGTGATTTATAACACTGGGGAAGACCAGACAAGGAATAAAGAGTCATTAAGGTTATCGAAGACCTCTAAGATCTCCAAGTCCAACCCCAATCCATCCCATTGTGCCCATTGGCCATGGTCTCAATGCTACCTGTCCACAGTTCTCGAGCATCTCCAGAAATGGTGAACCCACCACCTCCATGGGAAACCCATTTTGGTGTCTCACCATTCTTTTGGAGAAGAAATGTTTCCTAATATCCAACCTGAACCTTTCCTGGTGCGATCTGAGGCCATTCCCTCTCATTCTATCATGTCCCTATCTGTAGCTGCAGAGGTGTGAGGGAAGGTAGAAGCTCATCTACACTGCCAAAATACACGTAGAGCTGAATTTTTTATGTAGAAATGGGTCAAAACCCAGTGTGTCTGCCCAGCTAGATGGTGCTGTAACCTGTCACAGGAATGTAGTAGCAACCTGTCATGGGGATACAGTAAGCACCATTGATTTGGTGGGCAGTTGGCTATGAGGGTTCATGCCTTCCTGCCCACAGGCTGGAAGAGTGCTTTTAAAAATAATCACTCTACCAGTGAACCTGGCCTGTGCACCATCCCTGGGCAGCAGTGTGCTCTGAGATGTGTCACCATGATCCCCTCAGGTCCCTCACTGGCTCCAGCGGTGACAAGCTCAGAGACAGCTCGGGATGTTTGTCTGCATACCTTTGCCTCGTGACTTGCTCTCTGCTAAATCCCTCATGGTCTCAGCCTCTGGTCCAGGAGCAGAGCCATGAACTTGTGAGGAGTCCCCTGGGAGCAGAGTCAGGAATCAACCCAATGATGTAAGTCAGGACGTAGCTGTGCTGATTAGCACTGGCTGTAGTGGCACTCATGATACATTGCTCATCAGTGCTTGTGGCACAGGTAGGGATGCTGATGTGGTTCAGGATTCTGGAGGTGTTATTTGAAGGAGAGTAGCAGTGTCCCGTGCTTGAGTGCATCTTGAGGTGGGGATTGTGCTACGGTTGCTGTCACCCCTTGGGTAGATGTTCTGGATGGAGGTGGGCCACCTAAGTTACTCTCCTATAAGTGTGTATGTGCCCATGGGTGGTGGAAGGTGGCAGGGTTAGAATCATAGAACCATAAAGGTTGGGAAGACCATTATGGTCATCTGGTCCAACCATCAACCCATCAGTGTTTTGGTGGGTGCTCAAGAGCATGCTCACGTATTTTGGGAGGTGATGGCAGTTGGGATTGGAGGAGGGAAAAGGAACTCTGAAATGGGCTGTGGGACAGGGGATGCTCTACCATGTGCAGGACTGGTGACTGACACTGCCACATCCCTCATCCTCCCCAGCTGTTTGGTGAAGGAGAGGCTACAGTAGCTCAGAGAGAGCACAGAAAGCTCTGGACAAAGAAAATGAAAGTGATGGGATCTTTCCTGCATTGTGGATCTGCATTTTCAATTCCTTGTGAAGGTGTGTGGCTCCTTCTGCCCACCACCTCCCCTACTGTCTTCCCAAGAGGTCCCAGCTGGTGGTGGGAGGGGGAGGAAGGAGCCATTGAGGTCATCAACATCATCATCTCAAGGGCCACTAATCCCCATTCTCTCAGAGAAGTGGCCATTTGCCACGGCCCCATGGAGCTTCTGCAAAGAGGGAACCCCAGGGAGTGCAGTGTGGGCGGATGAGAGCCCTCAAGAGCTTTGAAAGTGATGGCAGAGAGATGGATCAAGGGGGAAAACCATCGGAAAGGGGAGAAAATAGACCTAAAGAGAGAAACTGAAAATGTGCTGAAGCAGCTGATGACAACCCAAACAGCAGGGGAAGGATCTTGCCTGCCAATTAACGAGGCTCTGGTGCTAATTTGCCACCTCGACTGCACTTCTGAGCTTGTCAGGAGATGGGGGAAAAAAACAGACAGAACTGAAAACGGAGCGGCAAGGCTTGATCTTGCCTCTGGGCTCTGCGGATGCTGCTGGGTTGTGGGGATGCTGCTGGAGCTGTTGGAGCTCAGTATTTGTATGGGCAGGGAAACACCCTTGTGGTAACACCCTGAGGCCAACACTCAGGATTCTGGCCTTTCCTGATGTGAAGAGTAGCTTTGCAAAGTATAAATGCAGAGTCTCACAACCCAGTGCACAGGTAGAGAGAGCTCCAAACACTGAATTTTTTAAAAAGCTGGTGAGTTTGAAACAAAATTCCTGGAGAAGGATGCAGGGTATCAGTCCCCCCAAGGCTTCTTGCAGCAATAATTGGGCAGTGGTGGCACTTTGGGGCTGGTGGAGAGGGAGGATGGTGCCTTTATGTGCTGCCTCTTGGGTTTGTGTTTAAGCAACTTGGGCATATGTTACTGGGTAAGAGATGCAGTGCCCAGAGAAAACAGAGGATGGGAGCAGAGAATCATTAGCCTGACACTCATCTTGATTGATGATGGGGAGGTGCACCTGAGCATCATCTCTGCGGATGGCCATTTACCCAGGGAGACCGGAGACCAAGCCACAAACTGCCAAATCCTTGAGGTGAGTCATGCTACCAAAAACCCTCCAGCTGTGCGGGTGTCCCTTAGCAGGACACCCACGCCACCTCCCCCACTCATCTCCAGACAGCCATGGGGAACTGTGACACAGGGAGGATGGCTTTCACTTCCCCTGTGTTTTTAAATGCCTCATTTTTTTCCTTTTAGGACCAGGAGTCACAAGCAAAGGAAGCCAGCTGTACAGAAAGCAGAAGTCCAGGTGACAGATTGAGGGATGCAACAAGCACGGTAGGCTGCCTGATAGATTGATAGATTAGACAGAGAATATAAATAGCATTGTTTATCTATCCCACTTTTATTTTCCTCCCACTTGTCTCCCTATCTACCCTGGTTTTGTTTTCCACCCACTTATCTCTCTATCTATCTATCCAGCCTGAGGATGGAGCAGCAGCAGAATGGATGAGCTCAAGTTGCTATGTTTCTTGAGGCATTCAAGCAAAGTTTTGGCAGCTGGGGAGAGTTTGGCAGAGCTGTGAAGATCACCCTGAGCAATGGGGCTGCTCCAGGAGGCAGAGGTTTTCCTCTCCTGTATGTACCTCTGCAGGGTTGTTGGGGATGTTGGCCTTGTGTAGTCTTTTGAAGGCCCCATCACCACATGAAGTAAGATGCAGAGATGCCCTTGGTGCCTGCCCTGAGTCTAGCTGATAGACAGATGAAGCAGCTCTGTGAGTGCTCAGGTTGCATTGTGTTTCATGCCCTTTCTAAGGGAGTGGTGAATGTGGAGGGCAACAAGGATACCACAGGTTTGGAGCAGCCTCCATATACAGACCTAATAAGGAAGACATATCAAAGATATCTCTCATCCACGTGACTGAAAGGGTGGCTGTGGTGAGTGACTCCCCATTTGTTCCCATACTGCAGTGGAGGGGCACCAAACAAAACTCCTAGTGCCCATTTCTGGCATGCCCAACAGGGTGCAGTGTGCCACAGATGGCCTTAATGGGCCACCTAAGAATCCTGAGCACCCCTCTGGGTTAATGAGGCCATTGACAGGAGGATGGCTGGCTAGCATGGGGTGTTCCCTATCTCTGCCTTCCAGGAGGCTTTGCTCAATGCCAGGCCTGCATGATGGGGCAGGAAACATGGGGCACATGGTGCTGGAGCCTCCTCGCCACCACCCAGCACAGCAATGGAAAAGCCAGGGCCAGAGATGACATCATTCTTGGTTCTTTTTTTTTTCTCCTCAGTTATTTTTGGTTGCTCTTTTGCTCAAAAAAAGGCGTTTTTTTAAAAAATATATTAAACAGATACATTTTACTAAGATGTCTCTCAGCTGGAGCCACCAACAAGAAATGATCCTCCCCAAATAGATAAGCTTAAAAAAAACCCTCCCAAGCCAAATAAATACATAAATAAAACATTTTTCTTTTATCTTTTTCTTTCCTCCTTTTGTTTCCATTTCTTCGTAAGGAAAAGCGGCCCAGAGATCTTCACTGTCATCCATAACAGCAGCGTTGTGGGGCAGATGCCAGGTCCCTGCCTGCATTTAAGGGAGTGATGTCTCAACTCTGCCCATCATGTGGTCCCCCTGTGCCACCTGTGAGGACACAGCCACAGGAATAGTGCGTTGCAAAAGCAAAGGCATCTGTAGAAACTCATCTTAAAAAGGCTAAAAAATGGGGGTGCTGCTAGAGGATCCGATGATGGGCACTGGGAGCCTTCGTGGTGTTGGGCTGTTTGCTTCGCTGGGGCCACCAACACATGCCCCTGGCCACCAGCATGTGTCCCCAAACAGAAGAGGTGACTGCTGGCAATGTCTCCGTGCATGGAGCAATCCTGCACTCACAGTCCCACTGGATTGAGCCCCACATCTTTATGGCCGGTGGCTGGGTGTACCATGGAAGCACACTGTTGGCATGAAGGTAAGGCCTTGATTTCATTCTTTTTGGAGTGCTTTTTAATATTTTGTTTTTTTCAGGGGAGTCTTTTCACCACGCTCTCTTGCTTTGTGATTTGAGTGGCCCAGCTGCTAGCTGCACAGCTTGCCCATCTCCTGCTCCACTGCATTGGGCAGCCGTGCATTGAAGGCTCGCAGAGAGGACTGGATCCTGGCCACCTCGTTGTTGGCCAGCTTGAGCCTGTGACGAAGCAGGCAGGTGAAGAGGTCGAGGCGGGTTTTGCCAGGGGGTGACAGTCTGTTCACCCGGTCCCGGATCTCCACCAGCTGCAGCATGGCTGAAGCCTGTGATCCCTGCGTGTAGGGGTAGTCCAGCTGCAGGATCAGGTCACGAATGGAGTCTGGTTCAAAGGGCAGGCTGTAGCCAAAGACCTGCAGGCTGTTGATCTTCATGTAGCCCAGGTTCTTGGAGGGATCCGTCATCTCCAAGGGCTCGTAATAGATGGTCTCGTTGGAGCTATCGTCCAGAGACTTGATGCGGCTCCGCAAGTAGACATGGACTGTTTCAAAGAAGGTCTTCCACTTGTTGCCCAAAGTGAGCGTCCAGTTTTGGCACTGGGCAGAGCCATCCACATTAGTCCTTTCCCAGTCTGGGAAGCTGCCCTCGTTGACGGGCATGAACCAGCTCTCCGAGTGGCTTCCCCCAAAGGGGTTGACGTAGATGGCCATGACGGGTTCCAGCGTGCTGTTCTTGGTGAGGCAGATTTGCAGGGAGAGGGCCAGCATCACGTGAACCAGGCCCGGCTTGTACTTGTTGCTTTTCAGGGTCAGGAGCATGCGCTTCCTCCAGGAGGGGTCAAACCAGCTCCCGAGGCGCATGTCATTGCTGATGAAAATGGAGTGCACCTCTATGCGGCTGTCCCGTTTCTGCAGGAGGTACTTGAGCTCCAGGTCCTGCAGATCTGTCTCTAGTCCCAGGTAATGCTCCAGTGAGTCGGCCACCTCGGGGCGGCAGAAGCCCTGGGCCAGCACGTAGCCATGGTTGCAGGTCCCGCAGCGAGTGCTGTTGTCCTCGGCGCAGCTGGCGCAGGCTGGCCCCTCACCCAAGGCACACGGGATGGCCCCTTGGCAGGAGGGCTGCTCCGAGGGGCACGTGCAGCTGTGGCTTTCTTCCAGGAAGGTCCCAGGTACTGTCGTCTCACCGCAGTAGAGGAGCGACTGAGCACGGCCCCACCAGTAATGAAGTGGCCTACAGGGGAGAAGGAGCACGGGAGGACAGTTGCTTAGGATAGAATCACTAAGGTTGGAAAAGACCACTAAGATCACCTAGTCCAAGCATCCCCACCATGCCCAATGACCGTGACCCTCAGGGCTGACCCCTCTCTCCTTTCAGGTAGTTGTAGAGAGCAATAACGTTTCCTAGTCTGAACAATCCTCAGAC